CAAATAGAGTAATAATTTAGAGTGCTGACGTGCCGTTGACTCTTCTAGCCGTTGGATCAATGGCCTTTTCAATAGCAACGGTTAGATTTCTAGCTGTTGGCTGATTGTTTCCCCTCTTTTGTATCTCAATTCTTTTCTTGAATCATCTATAAATGTCATGTTTTGCAGCTATATTTTTCAGATCTCTGTGTGCAAATGACCAGAGACTTTTGGGTTTGAAAACTCCAGATTCTCATTCCAGAGAAATTTTTATTTCACATCTTTTTGTTTATAAATGAGATTTTGGAAGGTTTTTGTTTGGAACTGTCTAAAGAAAGAAATTACTTTTAAAATGAATTTTGAGATAGCTTTTTTGGTATTTAGATCTGTTTAAGGATTTCTGGTTTTAGTTTCTTGCGGTTCGAATTTCTCACTCCATGCAAACACGGAGCTTCGTCCTCCCACCGCCCATGAGATTTTGATTCTTCCCAAGGTTAGTATCGGTACCTTCTATTTATTTATTTTTTATGCTAGTTTTGTTTGCTTTTCTAAATCTCTTTAGTTAATTAATTAACTAAAAACTGTTTTATAGTGAGGCTTGTACCGACAGTAAATCAGTTATAATTAAATTAGGAGAGAGTTTTTGATATTGGATCTCTCTTTTTTTTATTTAAAAATTTTAATTTTACAATTAAATATAATGTACAATAAAATAGAGAATTCATTAATTAATTGTTAAAGTTTTTTATACCTTAATTTATATAAAGTATGGATGTATTTATATGTAAATTTTATATATTATATTTATATAAAATTTTAATTATTTATTTTTAATAATTATTTGTTTTGTACTAGGAAAATTTGGAAAGTGAAAGAGAAATGTGGACAAGGGATTTGAACCTCAGTAATGTAGGTGAAATACACCTACACAATAGTTTCACAAGTCATATGTTAAAACTTATTAAAATTTATTTATTAGTTATTATACTTATTAAAAATAATTAATTTTATCTAAAAAGTTATATTAAATTTTAATTATTAAAAATAAAAAATAAAAAATTAAAATTTTATATAAATATAATAAATAAAATTTATATATAAATAAATTCTACTATTTAAAATATATATATTTACAATTGTTTCCTTGATTTTGATGTAAATTATTTAAGCGTTTTCACTTGTTCTTGTTCTGCTGCTTCCAAGCTGTCCGCTCCTCTCTATGGTTATTTGTGTTCTCACATCCTTTTTCACCCAGAAGTACGTCTTTTCACTTTTATTCTCAAACTAAAGCTCTTATTTTACTTCGACTCTTAACAATTCTTCCTTGGCTGAGTTTGGATTAAAAGATTTGGAAGGGAATAGTATAAGAGGAAAGAAGATGTCTATTGTCTCATTTTGTTTGTTTGATTATTTCATTAATGGAGAGAGGAAGATGGAAGGGCGGTAACCCCTTTGCTCCACTGTTTTTCATTTCTCTAAATTGGAGGTTGCGACGCGTTGGCTTAACCTTTAGCCTTTTTATTTCGTTTTATTTTATTTTATAAAAATAAATAATGTATAAATATTTTATTTTAATTATTTGTTTATTAATAAAATTATAATATTTTATTTTATTTTATTTAAAATTATTTAATTAAATAATAAAAACTATTATCTTTTCCTCTCTCATTTTTCTTTATTCACAGAAAATTAATAATAATTCTTGTCTTTCACTTAAAATCCATTTTCTTTTATTATTAATTTTTATCTAAATACACCTTAATTTTGTTCTGTTTCTATCGTCTAGATATGTCATTTTTTTTTAATACATAATTGTTAAATATTGCAGGAGTTCGAAATTTTTTATTTTCATCTCAAATTAAAACTTAGTGGTGGCAACTCGGCATATATGGTTAGCTCTTTGTTTTACATATATTTTCACAGAAGTCGAAATCCAAATATTTTTAAATAAAAAATTAGAAAATGGCCGAGTTGTGTATCGCTGTTGGTACTGCTGTTGTTGGCAAATGTACAGAGATCCTGGTTGATCCATTTTTAAAGTTAATCTGGAACCGAATCACGCGTGTGTTCAAGTCGGGTTCTAATGTAAAGACTCTGAAGGAAAAGGCAGGGAAGCTGGTTGCTGAAAAACAGCGTGTGCTGCAATTTACTGAAGCTGCTGAACGAAGAGGGGAAGAGGCCGC